GTGTTTGAGAGACCGGGAATTCCGAGAATATTGGGAGCGCACGCACTTCTTTGCACGCCCCAGAACCAAACTCCCAGAATTCCCCTATCAAACGGGGGCGCGAGCACGTTTGTCAGTGGGTCATCGGGCGACCCTTAAACAATATTCTGTACCCTTTTCGTCGATCCGGCCCGCCCACGTGTCAGACTATCGCGGAACCCGGCGTCATCATCATCGAAACGGAATATCCTCCCTATTTCCTCACGTCACCCTTCCATTTCCATAGCCTAACGATCACCCCCTGGCGTACGATTGCTCCTTGCTCCTTATTGGCGTGACCCACCTTGTTCTGAGTGCCAGCAGGACCGCGCCTACCGCGCTGCAGGGTTCACCTGACGAACCCTCTCCGAAACCGAGCGGTGGGCACACGGTCTTCGACTGAGGCCTGCCACGTCAGATTCCAAAACTTGCAACGTTCGTCGACAACAAATACTCAGACAGCGCGACAGCCACAGCGTCCCACCGGTACACCAACTACGGAACTGGCCACGACGACGGAACCAGCGGAAGTGGTGACCCCAATCTACGTAGCACCAGACCCAGGCGCGATCCGCGACCACCTTCCTGCAGTTTTGTCCCTGGAACTCACCACAGGAGATCCCAGTTCCGACCTGGGACTCCACCCCCACTATCCTAAAATCCTTGGCACACCCCTTTTCGCACTTCCGGGCCCCCATTTCACTCCGAAGAGGAAGTCGCACTGGGCGTGAGGTTTGGGCGTCACACGGCCGCGCAAGGACAAGGGAAGATCCAAGCCAAAAAAAAAAAAAAAAAAAAAAAAAAAAAAAAAAACTATGTTATGCAGAAAAATAAACTGAACAACTTTTGCCTCAGGGTCACATCGAAATTATTTATCGAATTTAAAATACAAACTTAAGTATAAAAAAAATATTTTTTATTTTTTTATTTTTCTATATCTTTTTGGCCCGGCCGGGCAAGTGGACCCGGGCCACTCTGGTAGCCTAGGTATTTATAGCATAATCGAATATAAAATGATAGGATGTTCTGTTTCTATTCTTGGGGAGGGGGGGAAGGGCGACGACCTTGAGATATCATCATTGAGCTGACCGGCCCCAGGTAATTCAAAGTGATTCTACTCTGGTCATCTGATTGTGATTCATTGAACGTGTGTTTAGGGCATCATGCCCTGCCGTACACGGACAGCCTCGAACCAGCACCCTCCTGCACAGGAGCAAAGTATCATAACCACTACAACCCTTGGAGGTGTTATAAAAACTGGATCCATACCGCTCGTGATATCCAGTCCACCTCCAGGGCTGTAGCGTCCTTGAACTCACACCACACACACACAACACCACGGACTCGACAATCCACGCACACTCCGCTCAGCCAACAACACGTAGCCCATCACCACTACTTTGCCCGGTCACACACAGCGGGCCAACTTCCCGCGGGTTCCACAGGCGCCTCACAGTGATTCACTGAACAACGTGTTTAGGGCATCATGCCCTGCTGTACACGGACGGCCTCAAACCGGCACCCTCCTGCACAGGAGCGGAGTATCGTAACCACTACAACCCTTGGAGGTGCATCTGGATTCGAGCTTGGGTCCATATTTCAGCAGTTCGTTGCGTGTCCAACTGAGCTATACCAGTTGGTTAGATCACCTATTTCCACATTGCTTTTCTCAGTTTTTTTTTTTTTGGAAAGCTGGTCACTTATTACCAAAACAAAATAGAGGGAGGCCGGGGACCTCAGATTTGCTTTTCTTATCTGCACTGCCATTGGAAATCAAGCAGCTAATGATCCTGCCGACCGGACAAAAAATGTTATTCGAATAGAACATGTGCATTGTATTCGAATAGAAAGCAATCTATGCGTTGTATTCGTTTAAACCACCACTGCCCCCGCCACAAAAACATTTGGGAGACCGGTAGCCCAAGTTAATGAGGGCTACCGGTACCATAGTGTGGAGAACCGGTAGAGTGGTCCACAGGTGGCAGAGTGGCAAAAACGGAGTACTTTTCCGTTGGCCTGCAGGTGGCAGAGTGGCAAGAACGGAAAATGCACCAAATCGACGCGGCGAGTATTTCACCATCTAAAATATTTCATTTCATTTTATTTTATTAATATTTTCCCCGAATAGATCACGACCAAATCTACCGGATCTCAAAATTTCAGATTTTTTGGTTTATTCTTCTGAGCGTGAAAAATCATCAAAGTTTGCACTTTCTTTTTTTTTTGTTTTTGGCCAACCTCCACTTGAATTGCCCCCGACCTCCGCTTCTTCCGGGCTACCAGCCTCCGATGGTCCCAGAAAGCCAATTTCTTGACGCCGGGGGGAGTGGTGGTTTAAGACCTAGGCTACCAATCGTGCAGCTAGCAATCCTGCCGACTGGATAAAAACTGTAGTTCAAATAGAACACGGGTGTTGTATTCAAATAGAAAGCAACCTATGCATTGTATTCGTTTACAACCTAGGCTACCAGCCGGGCTGCCCCGGCCACATTGTTTGCCCGAGCGGCCCGGCTGTGCAAGGACCAAAGAAGATCCCACCTACAAAAAAAAAAAAAAAAAAAAAAAAAAAAATTCTGAAAAAAAATGTTATGCAGAAAAATAAACCGAACAAGTTTTGCCTCAGGGGCCGGGACCCATTGGCAGCGTTTGATGGGACCCATTGGCAGCGTTTCACAGGACCCATTGGCAGCTTTTGACACGGGCGCCGCTGTGCTTTCGATCACAACCAGCAAAGAGTGACGAGCTTCAAACGTTGATGTCCAAAAGTATGGACGGCTCTGGTTTCCCTAAATTTTTAGGCTTCAGCCTCGACGTTTCCTCCAATCCCGGCCTATGAAAAGTAGTGCTTTCTTGAATTCGTTATTCCCTTTTCACTGTATCAAGGACGCAATATTGACATTTTTGGAGGCAGGGGGTGATTTTGCAGCCTTGCTCCAAACGCCAACAAAAAGGAAACAAAGTTGTCTACTGCCAGTGCAGACCTTCAGAGGACGCAGCCCATTGGCTGAAGGAAGAACCCATCCTGAAAAAGATGGCAAGGAACTCGCTGGCTCCCAGTCCATTGGCTGCGGGAGAACCCAGAGGAGGATTTTACTTTCTTTAATAATAGAAAACGAGTTTTTAAAATCTGAATTTTTTTTTTTTTTTGCCTTCTCCTCATCGGGGGACAGCCATATATTTTTCTCTCAGCTCACATATGGCGTTCTGCCATGTCATGGAACATATCTTTCTTTTCACTGCCTGCCACTACTGGGAAAACCATTTTTTCAATGCAAAAACAGACTCCCACACGTTGTACGCTGCTAGTGCGTCCCGGCCCCAGGTGACATCAACATTCTTTACCAAATTAAAATAATAAAAAAATAAATATGTTTTTTTTTTCACTTTTTTTGGCCCGGCCGGGCAAGTGGTCCCCGGCCACTCCGATAGCCTACTTTACAACGCATATGCGTTATGTTCGGCGAAAGACGGTCGTATGACTATACTCTGAGAAGGGGACGATGAGGAGAAGAGGCGGGCGGTGTGTGCCCGGCCCGCGCAGGAAATAGAGTACCGTCACCACTTCCTTGCTGCTTCTCAAATATTTCCACACATCGCTTTTCTTAGCACGCACGGTAGTATTGGAAATCGTGCAGCTACCGTCGTCCCCTGAACATAACGCACCCTGAAAATGAACCTATACAAGGTATGTTTCCGACCGAATACAGTCAAAATGAAGGTGAGTTGTTGCATCGGGGGGAAGACGGTAGCGGTCCTGCCGACCGGATAAATACCGTTAAGCCGCGTCTCATGAGCAAAGTCGAGCGTCCTCTGAGCAAATAGCCCCCCAAGGCTTATGCTCATGGATACAATACACGTGTCATCGAGAGAACAATGCGCCCTCGAGAGAAATAGTGTCTCGCGGCACCAGTCATGCTTATGCTCGTGTATCTTTCCTTGTTTCAGCAGAACATTCATTCTCATTTTGCACATTTGGTGAGTGGTGCGGCCGAGGCCCGTAGGCTCATGTACACGGTGCAGGTTACACGTGTCAGCACGAGAACAATGAATTCTCACAGTACACACCATCCTGAGGCCGTACTCACACTAGGACTCTTTCCACTTCTCTCTGGACGTAATTGCATCCAGGTGCATGCAGGCGCATCCAGGCAGGGCCGGAAAAGCGGCCCCATACATCCAGGAAAGTCCTAGTGTGAGTATGCCCTGAGACTCGACCACGTAGTCTTACGTAAAAAAAAAACACAAAAAAAAATACAGCCAACCATATGCACAGGTTGTTGCCCCCTCCTGCCGGGAAACATCAGCAAGACCTCCCCACATGCATGACATCCACTTCCTTCCTCCTCGTAGGAGATCTACCGTGTTCACCCGAATAGAACACCCAGTCATTATCCCTGTATGTAGCCTGAAAATTGCACCAACTACAATATAATGACCTGGCGTTCTATTTGGGTGAAGACGGTAGGCTCATGAAAAACACGGTACACGTGTCATCACGCAGAACAGGCGCTCTCAGACAAAACAACGTCCCGCGACAGGAGCTAGCATTCAGGTTTCTCCCTCCGCTCAACCTCCCCATCCACGCAATCCAATTCCCCCCTCATTGGCGGACGACAAGCGGAAGGTGCACGCGGACGCGCGCAATGCTCAAGCATTTCCCCAGGCTTCCCCGAGGCATAGGGCGGTGAGACTGCCGTAACAGGGATGCGTTCCACAACTGTCAAGATCAAAAAAAAAAAAAAAAAAGGGAATAAGAGAGATAAGAAAGAGATAAGAGAGAGAGATAAGAGAGAGAGAGATAAGAGAGAGAGAAATAAGAGAGAGAGAGAGAGAGAGAGAGAGAACAGAGAGATAACAGAGAGAGATAAGAGAGAGAGATAAGAGAGAGAGATAAAGATAAGAGAGAGAAATAAGGATAAGTGAGAGAGAGAAATAAGAGAGAGAGAGATGAGAGAGAGAGAGAGATAAGAGAGCGTCCATACCTGTCCTTGTTCATCCTGCATCGCAGAGTCTCGATTCAGGTAATGGTAGAACGTAGTCATGAACTGCATGACTCCCCGTTGTTCGCGATCGAGTTCCATCGCTCTGGCATAGGCGAAGCGCCGACCTGTCAGGGCAGAGAAGAGACAAGGCGGAACGACAGAGAACCCTTAGAACTCAGTGCAAAAAACTGAAAGAACACCACCAAGGAAAAAAAAACACGCAAAAAGAAAAAACGCAACACGCAAAGAAAAAGGACGAACACAGAAGCCTGAACAAGCAAACTGTGTGATAAGCGAAGCGCCGACCTGTCAGGTGCAGAGAAGAGACAAGGCGGAACGACCCAAAACCCTTAAGAGATGATGAGAGCAGAAAAAACTGGAAGAACCCCACCAGGGCATACGAAATCCGGGACGAAAAACAAGCACAAAAAAAAAAAAAAAAAGACAAACACAAAAACCTGGACAAGCAAATCATACCTTTCTCGGCCTTTTAGCTATAAGTAAGATCAAACACATATCAGCACCGAGATGAAAGCTATAAGTAGTATCTGTTCTGATCACTTCAATGTCTGATCCGTGGTCCATTCGGCCACATTAACCCAAAAGAAAAAAGAACAGGCAAACAGATATCAGCACCGATTCATCCATCCATCCATCCATACCCATCCGCACTTGAGCCATGTAATAGAATTGTCTCCTCTCCGCTTTCATTACGCAAAAAAACAAAAAAAAATAATAACGGCGATGAGAAAAAAAAAACGAAAAAACAAATGACAGTACGAAGACAAATAAGATTAGTGTGCATGTAACGAGTCCTACCGTCTTCCCGTATTTGGCACAACTTTCAATCCAGATGCAGCGAGAATACAGTACGAATACAAATACGAATAAAACGTACGGTCATTCTGCCTGTATTTGGCACAACTTTCAGTCCAGATGCAGCGAGAATGACAGTACGTACTATTCGGAAATCACCAACGTGCAATGAACCCAAGTCGTGGATACAATGTCGACACTGAAAGCCAAGATTATCGAACCAATGATAGATCTTCAACGACAATAGTATCCAGTAAGAAAGTGGGGGTTGAGATAATCATACACGGACGAAGAGAGGTGGGGGAGATTAGACAAGGGAGAGGGATAAGGCCCACTCCTTCTCCGGGCTCCTCCTACGACAGCAACCCCACATCAGTAATGATCTGAATACAAATTAGAGACTCAGCCTCCGGGTGCCACGTGGCACCGATCAATACATTAATTA